CGCTCTCGGAGAAGTTGCTGTGGCGGCTCGTGGTGTTGCTGCTGCTGCTGTTGCTGTTGCGGCTGTTGGGAGGAGGAGGAGGAGGAGGAGGGGCGCGAGGCGGTCCCGGCGCTACTGTTGTTGGCATTCGTTGAAGAGGCGGTGCGACTCTGATGCGGATGGTTGTGGGGATGGCCGCTGGACCCACCTCCCTCTCCGACCGTTCCGGCTTCGGCTGCCGACGCCGCTGCGCGAGACTGCCGCTCCCGCTCGCGCTCTCTCTCCCTGGCGCGAGCCTGGGCATATCCATAGGGCAGGTGGGTGTTGCAGCCCCCGCTGTCCGCGCCCACCATAGCAAACTCCATCTTCTCGAACTACGAAGCGTTCAGAATGATGGAAAACGGGCTGAAGAACGAGGTTGAGCTAAAGACGGCCTCAGCAAGTTCATAAATGCACTTGACTGGCACTGTAGGTCCGCTGCCTTCGGAATTGCTTTAAGCTCTTTCGGTGCACTTTTACTTATTGTAATTGGACTTTACAACTGTGGCGAAGCGACGCGCTTCTGGTGACATCATCATCATCATAATCATCATCATTATGAGAAAAAGGTGTCCAACAGTTCTAGAATCCATGTGCGCGGCGCGCGCCTGCGTTATCCAAAAGGAAACTGAATGCAGGAGGAGAGCTCCGTTATCTGAGGTGATCGGTAGAGACTTTATTCGCCTATGAAATCACTGGTTCCCATCTTCACTGTGAGGGAGGGGTGGGGTGTAGGTTTGTTTCGTCCTCTGCCCCTTCGGTGGCTATGAATTAATCACTGAATCCGCTTGACACCAGCAACAGCTGCAAAGAAAAGAAAAACGTGTTGTAGAATGCAAACTGCTCATCGTAATGTAGCCCAAGCAGACTGGGATGGATAGCCTACACCAACATGAGCAGAACATTTTGAAAAAGTAATCAGTAACAAAGGCATAAGTCACTATTCCTGCGCTACATATTGATAATAATATTAATAACAATACTACTGTGGCACATCCTTATTGTAACAGGCCAGCCAAGCAAGGAAACGGGAAATAGCGCGTGATATTACTGATCCAAAATCCCTTGACAATTAATTATAAACAGTCGTCGCACGCAATTTATCAGCCCTCTCATGCACTCCACGTTCCATTATTCGAGCCACTGACGTAGGAAATGATATGAGGATGTCTTCTCAGCTGCCACCCTCAATATAACAAGCTAGAGATGGCTGAGGATGTAAATCACTGGTTTGTCCAAATTTCCCTCTCGCTCAGATATTCCTCGACGTAACCAAACGCAGAACATGACACCTAAACAGTCAGGTGTGATCGCATTCGAGGGATGACAGTTTTGTCCACGGCTCGCCGTCGGGTCTTTATTCAACAGGATCTCTCATTACCTGCCCATCTCCCCCTCCCCAAAAAAACATGCACCGCTGCATTAAGCCTGGACTCGCACTCACCAAAAAGCAGGTGCTGCTACCGAGAGCATGCTGCGTGGCTCCATAAATCACACGAGCAGCGTCAGAATCGAGATGTATCAAAGTTTTAGGATGCCATGTGTAATAGCCTTAGGTAAGTATGCGCAGCGCGCATCTGTCTGCCGCTCAGTCTCGCCCGTTGACCATTGTGCTCGTGTTATTGGGGAGCTGCGCTCCGCCGCGAGAGGCACGTTTGCGCAGCGCGGAAAGACCTCGATCGCCCCCCCGTGGTCGTGACAGGCGCGCACCAGTGTGCTGCAGCTCTCAAACTTCGACAGCCCCTTATGCATCTGTTGACATCCAGTTAATCGCAACTGCCTACCCGAGGGACTGCTGCAGAGCACGAGCTGCACACACTAAGCAGCCTGTGTGTGGCTCTGTCAAAAAGCCACATACACTTTCTGTCACGGCCTGTTTGTGTATAGTCATCGTTTGGAAAAAATTAAGAATGTAAACACAACATAAAAAAGATGAATGTGATTGTGTCGTGAGAGCTCTGCACTTCACTCTTCCACGCTCCATTAAACAAGCAAGCGTTTATACAACGAGCATAAATAAAAGATTCACCTCCTTTAGCTTAGCATAGAGGGTTCGAAACTGGGGCCCGGGGACCTCGAAGAGAAGAAAAGTGGGTGCTACAGTAGGATCCGCTGAAAACTTGGGGAGAAAAAGAAAGATTTTACAACATTTACCTTTGAGATGTCAAAGTTTAAATGTTGATGTAATTAAATTAAATATGAAAGACATTTATCAGAATTTGCAATAATTACTGTTCTTTCTAAACACAAGGAAGCACAAGATTCATCACAGTTTTCAATTTATTTTGTTGTAAAATAGAACCTAACTTACACATTTATTATGTTATAAAAGAAGCTGTCATCTTATTGGAATAAGTTGTATCATATTTTCCAAATAATATTTTATATCAGTTTAGTTTGGCTTTAGAACAAAAGTAATATAGGGGCAATTTATTTAATTTAGTCTATAATATGATAATATGTGAGTTTCTTGGCATTAGCACTCAATCATACAGACTATAGTGGCACTGTAAAAAAATAAATAAAAAAATAAGTCAACTAAATAATAAACTCAAAATGATGTTTGTTTCAAAAAAACTCATATGATGTTTGTATGAAAGCAAAATGCAAATGATTACTCCCACTACGCCACCTGCCTGTTTCTCCTGGCACTCTATTTTACAACAGAGAGCTTTAGAAAACCAGTTTCGTCAGCAGCACTGTGTTTAAGCCACGAATGCTTTATATTTATCACCTGGAAAACAAATATTGTATTTCGCAAGACAGAGAAACGCTCAACAAAACTCATGTCTCACATACTCTGTTGTAGAGGGGGAAATGTGTGTGTGCTATCAAAATGATTGTGCTGTTTGATCCAGCTCATTAGTTATGCAGCAGACATTGTGTTTGCTCTTGTTAAAACAGTTTGCATTGACCAACCTTTACTATCTTGACAAATTGACTTCTTGCTGTTTTATTATTCAAATACCCCACCTTAGTAGCTTGTTTTGGACTTGGCTTAAGTTTTTTCTACGCGTGTCTATTCTGTATAGAGTCTGCAGCTGGCACTATACAGAATAAAAGGGGGCACAGTATTTTTTTTTTACTGTGAAATACACAGTATTTCACAAGACAACATTTAGTCATTGTGGGCAAGCACACAGGATGGCTGCTTTATAGGTGTAGGGAGTAAAGATTCTGACTGTAGTGTGAAGGTTGTGCGTGTGCGATTGGATAATGGCTTATAGTTATTAGAATAATGGTGCTGACTGCATTGTAGGCCAGGAATGGGGTCCTGAATATGACTGTGCAGCAATGAGAAGTACATTGAGACATGAGTAAATGTGAGAATTACTGGATATATAGAGTCAGACAGAAGCATTTTGGATGCACTGATGGGAGTGAAAAGGCAGATTTTCTCTACATTAAAAAGCCTTATTCGGATAGGGCACTTGTCACAGCGTGATAAATGAAGGTCAGTGGGTCATCTTGGACAATTTCCAAGATTTGGACACATCAGGAGTCAATGACTGTACAACCTTCAAAAGCCATGGAAAGAGACTGGGGGCGGCTGAAAGAAAAAAGAGCTTCGTTTTGTCAAGGTTGAGCTGGAGATGAAAAGCCGTAGAGCCAGACTGAGATCTGTTAAAGAAAATGAACAGAATCAAAATGAAAATCCAGGGCACTGTATAACTTTAAAACAGATAATGGTCAAGGCAATAATGGCTAGGCGTGCTGCTAAATGGAATGAATGCTAGAATAGTTCTTTTACAGAGGACCGTTTCGAAGATTATATACTGTATATAAAATGTTCAGAAGTTTGGGGTCAGTAAGATTTTTATGTTTGAAATAAGTCTTTATGCAAACCGCTAGATATATCTTTTGACATTTGTATTTGAAAATTAAATGGAGATTGAAATGCTCACGAGCTTTGAAAAGAGTAATGGGTGATTTCATGCATTAAATTGGTGAAGGATGCATTAAACATATCAAAAGCGACAGTAAATATTTCGAATTTTAAGGGGGTTTTTATATTTTTAAATTTACATATAGTCATTTAGCAGACACTTTTATCCAAAGCGACTTACAAATGAGGACAATGGAAGCAATCAAAATCAACAAAAGAGCAATGATATCATTTTTAATATATGAGATTTCAGTTTCAAATAAATGCTGCTGTTGATGGCAAAGCAGCAGCCATCACTCCAGTCTTCAGTGTCACATGATTCTTCAGAAATTATTTTAATATGCTGATTTGGTGCTCAGTTGCTAATAATGATTCTTATTGTCATCAAAACTGAAAAAAAAGAGTTTTGCTGCATAATATTCTTGTGAAAATCATAATACATGTTTTTCAGGATTATTTAAAAGAATAATAATAGAAATTGTAAAAGAACAGCTTTCATTTGAAAAAAGAGATTTCTTAAATTAAAAAGTATATTAAAAATCTAAAATTCTAAATGTCTTTGATCTGTCACGTTTGATCAATTTATTGCATCACATTATCCATTACACTTTTCAAAGCCCATGAGCATCTCAATCCCAATATCATTTTCAAATATCAATAGATCGATCTAGTGGTTAAAAAAAAAACATCACCTCCATCTGTTATGAGAGACTGTTTCAAAAGTTAGCCAGGTAAAAACTGAACAGATGCTGTGGAGAATAAAAACTGATTGATTTTTGTGAAATATTTTAAAAAATATCCTGCAGAAATTAATTGTTGAAGCAACCATGTGTTGATCTCTTAGAGACGACAAGCTGTTGTTCCAGTGATTTTCAATCCAGGAATTGTGCTGCAGAACACTGACCTTGAAAAGCAGAACATCAGTGGTGGCTTTTACATGGATCCTGTTCTGTCTAAGCCTCTTTCAGACTGAATGCCATGGCCACAGGGCTTTCGGGGATTTGTGCCACCTCCACAAAATCAAATGCAGTAGTATGATAAGACATGGCTGCTCTCAACTAGATGTGGGCGTCACGTCTGACAGGAGGGTATAAGTGTCCACGTGAACTGAGGTGAAAGGATTTTGTCTCAGCGGAACTCCAGCAGGTAGGACTGCCATGAACTTTATATTAGTATTTTAGCAATTATATTTATATTAGCATGAACTGTATATTAGTAATTTGACTTCAGTTTCAATGTGTTTGATAGTTGCTTTTCCCAAACCAAATTTAAATTTATTCATCTTAGTTGCTCAACTAATAATAATTTAGCCAAGTTTTTGTTTATGTGCAGGCTATGTGAGCTGGTTTAGTGTGGTCTGGGTTAGATTGTACTTTCAATAGTGATTTTCTTAAAAAAAAAATTAAGCAATAAAGCCCAAGATAGATACAAAATGCAATGCTAATAATTTACCCACTGCAGTACCTGTATTTGATTAGCTGCACACCTTCGCATTGATTCCCAGATGAGGATGCACTTCGTTGTTATGGTGATGCTGTTGCCAGCGCTGATGAGGGCAGGATCAGAATGCAGGTCCAGCTGTCGGCTCACCAATATCTCCATTACCTTGGAAAGTGAGGAATGTGGCAGCTGCATCACAATTGACACCACTGCCTGTACCGGGCTTTGCAAAACACAGGTATAGGATGAAGTAATATTCTTGTAACCTTTCTTTTTAATGGATTTGTGCACATTTGACATATATGTGAATTTGTATATATGAATTTTCAGCTGCTATTACTCCAGTCTTCGGTGTCACATGATCCTTCAAAAAATCATTCTACACTGAACAAAATTATAAACGCAACACTTTTGTTTTTGCCCCCATTTAATGATTGTGGCCTGTGGAATGTTGGTCCACTCCTTTCTGACAGTTTGTGCAGAAATTCTTTGGTTATGCAAACCGATTGTTGCAGCAGCTGTCCGGGTGGCTGGTCTCAGATGATCTTGGAGGTGAAGATGCTGGATGTGGAGGTCCTGGGCTGGTGTGGTTACACGTGGTCTGCGGTTGTGAGGCTGGTTGGATGTACTGCCAAATTCTCTGAAACGCCTTTGGAGACTGCTTATGGTAGAGAAATGAACATTCAATTTACGGGCAACAGCTCTGGTGGACATTCCTGCAGTCAGCATGCCAATTGCATGCTCCCTCAAAACTTGCGACATCTGTGGCATTGTGCTGTGTGATAAAACTGCACATTTTAGAGTGGCCTTTTATTGTGGCCAGCCTAAGGCACACCTGTGCAATAATCATGCTGTCTAATCAGCATCTTGATATGCCACACCTGTGAGGTGGATGGATTATCTCGGCAAAGGAGAAGTGCTCACTAACACAGATTTAGACAGATTTGTGAACAATATTTAAGAGAAATAGGCCTTTTGTGTACATAGAAAAAGTCTTAGATCTTTGAGTTCAGCTCATGAAAAATGGGGGCAAAAACAAAAGGGTTGCGTTTATAATTTTGTTCAGTGTAATATGCTAATTTGGTCTTTGGTGCTGTTATCATAAATGCTAAAAACTCTTTTTTGTTGCGTAATATTTTTGTGAATTCAGGATTCTTTGATGAATAAAAAATTCAAAACAACAGTATTTCTTTCAAATAGACATGTATTTGTAACATAAATGTATTTTCTGTCACTGATCAACTAAATGCATCCTTGCTGGATAAAAGTAGGTTATTCTTTTTTTGTTGTTTGTTTTTAAAGGGGTCATATGATGCGATTTCAAGTTTTCCTTTACCCCAAACCTTTGAATAGCAGTGACACGCTTTCCACAAAAACATTAAATGGCACAAATGTTTTCAACATCGAAGTGTTTCTTGTGCACCAAATCAGCAAATTAGAATGATTTCTGAAGGATCATGTGACACTAAAGACTGGAGTTCTTTTAAATTGTAATAATATTACACAATATTACTGTATTTTCGATTAAATAAATGTAGCCTTACTAAGCATAAGAGACTTTTTAACAACATTAAATGATCTAATACCGTATGTCTGTTTAATATATGTCTCTCTCTCTCTCTCTATAGTATATATTCTTCCTCTTGCACCAGATAAAAGGGAACTAAAATGCATTGTTTTGTTTTTTTGGTAGGAAAGTGTTTACCGTAGCCCACTGATGCTGTTCTACCAGAACACCTGTAACTTCAGAGAATGGACCCATGAGACCTATGAGTTTAAAGGCTGCCCTGCCAGGACTGACTCCGTTTTCACTTACCCAGTGGCCCTCAGCTGTGAATGCAGCAAGTGTAACTCTGACATCACAGACTGTGGAGTTCTCAGCCAGCAGACACTCAGCTGCAATGCACATTAGACAAGGAAACCAAACACCGCTCTGCAACCATTTGAAAGCCTTTTGTACAATTCTGAATATTTCATAATACCATGTAAACTGCATAATGGAATAAATCAAATATAAAACATTTTCATATTATTTGCAAGCATCAATAAATATAAAATACTGCAAGAGCCCATTAAAGGCTAAATGTAATTAATTTTTAAATCAGTATAAAAGATGCTTTGGCTCAAATCTCCTGACAGGTCATCTGTGAGGTGCTGCTTCTTCCTGTTGTGTTTCTGGAATCTTCTGTGGGCTCTGGTGTCAATAATCTCAGTCAGGCACAAACTGCACCATTAAAACAGCTCTCACATAGCATAAACAGAACTCATTTCCTGTGATACACCATCTGTTCCCAAGCGCTTACACACACAGACACGTTAATTTTGCTTGTGAAATTGGTGCGTTTTTACCAGAGCTTATAATTGTCCTTATGAGACCAACTGTAAAAATTTCTCTCTGTGAGGATGCTCTCTCTGATACGCTGAGCAAACTCACTGAAACCATACTACATTTACATAATCAAATTAGTAATGAATCAACATGAATATCAAAGAGTTTTCGGAAAAAGGGGTAATGTCTTGCATATAAATAGAAATGGGTTAGGGCACATCAAAAGAGCCTTTAATACACGTGTATGGTAATAAAAGGAGCAGATGATAAAAACAAGAGACACTACATCATAACAGATGCTCTTTAAGCTGTCATCTAAACGAGAGCATGCATGACTTACAGCTGCTCAGCAGTTAAAACTTTACAAGGTTAATGAGAATCAAATCATCTGTGCACACACATGTGTGTGTAATTTTCTAATGTTGGCACACTGCAAACACTTCAATATGTTAAGGATTACTCCAAATTTCATTTGACTAATTGATTTAAAACTGGTAGAAATTCCCTACTATAGCTCAAGGCCTCAAGTTATGGCAATAAAAGGTGTACTCTCACCTTACATTGCAAGTATTGTAATATTTAAACAACTGTATCAATGCTTCATCTTTAAAATTGCACTGCCAGTTATTTGCACTGGAAAAAGCTTCACCCAGGCAGTTTTCCCTAGATAAACAGCCGGTCTAGATGGGAATGTTTTGAAAATCATCAAAATCTGCCTCATTTGAGCGCTTTTGCAATACATTAAATCAACTTTCTTGCTGTTTGTACATTCTTATTGTTGTGCCGCTACAAGGCAAACTGGGCCTATGACAGATTGTTCTTCATCTTGACGTTCCTGGCTCCTAGCACTGCAACACGAGGTGGAGCTCCCTGAATGTGCAGGCCGAGACAAATGGGCCAATTAGAAAAACATCTAATAGATGATATCTCCAAACAAATACTAAAGTGCCCTGCAGTAAACCAACAGGTTTCTGGATATCATCATAGTCGGTTTACTGAGTAAATCAAAGAACTAAAAATGTGTTGTTTTTTTACTTAAAGACAAATTAAATAATAATAAAATAAAACAAGTGGCTACATATTATGCTTGGTATTTTAAATAAGATATAGTGTAGATAGAGTGATTCAGATAAAAGATACATTTTCCCAAATGTTCACGGCATTTGAAATTAGGTCAAAAGATCATATTTGTAAAACCTTTGAATAAGCACTGTGCACTCTGCTTATAGTTAGATTTTATTTTTGTAAGTGTAAAAACAAATTTCAAGGGGGAGAAACAGCTACAGCATTACAACATAACTAAAGAAGTGGAAATCCTAGAAAGATTACAGAAATGAACACAGCTGTGATAGCAGCAAAAATATAAGACAACATTCTTTATTAAACTTTTACATTTAAAAAATAAACAATATAGCAAATAAAGCAAGTACTTCTGCAATATCCATATACCAAGCCAGTGACAGTCTTTTTTGCTCAGAAGCAGAAGTAGTGCCGTCATCTTGGTCTTCCAACAAGTTAGCTAATTTGCAAACTTGTTGCGAATGATCTCTCCTCCCTCTACCTCCACCTGCTCATACAACCATTTCCGGTCACATCGGCACTCCACACCGCACTTCCGCGATCCGCACTCGGGACATGGGTAAAAGCAACCCATGCAGTCTACATCCAGACAGTCACACAGATCCCTTCCACATGAGATCAACAGACCTTTGCTGTCATACACTTTACTCTTGAGAGACATGGTCTGTCTGCAGGGACAAGAAAGATGGCAAAAAATGGGGGAAGTTCATCCAAACGTTTTTTTTCTCCAATGCTTAAGACACCATATAAAACACTTTGAATACAACTGGAATTCAATTAACTGAAACTGTGATTTGTATGCTAATCTTTATTATGGCTGAGGTGATGTGTTCATGAGTTTGAGAATCTAGACAAGATATGTACCTGTCACCCAACGAGACCTTCCCTGCACGTCTCCGGTCATTCACACCTCTGCTCTGCAATAAAGAAACAAAAATGTCTGATTGACAAAAGAAAAAGTAGTCAGCTGAACTATAGCTGATCCTTTTTAAATGGCACCAATTATTTTAGAAAGCAATGCTTTGACACCTTGTGGCCAACCACATTTCAGATTTGCTCAAAAAATACACAATTCTTAATTTTTGGCACTTTGCAGACACTTTCTATGGAAGTTTGTTTCTGATACACAATAAAAAAACAAACAAGGTAATTGTGACTTTTCCCCCTTTGCAATTCTGAGTTTATATATGACTTTTTTCCTCAATTGCAAGATATACAACTTAAACTTTTGACAAGAAAAGTCTGAATTGTGAGATGTCAAATTACCTTTATTATATATTTTTTTATTTTGTGGCGAAACAACAACAAAAAAAAACTGAATTGAGAGAAGTAAACGCAGAAATTACAAAAAAAAAAAAAAAAGTCTGAAGAGCAAGAATTGTGAAAAAAAAGAAAACTTAATTGAAAACTGAAAACTGAAGCATTACCTTTTTTATTTTTTATTCCGTGGCAGAAACTGACTTCTATACTTTTTAATAATGAAACTGTTATTCAGAATTCCATTTTCTTAATCATTTTAAAAATGCCAGAAAAAAATCCTATAACTTAAAGCCTTAAGTAATGACAAGAAAGGTTTAGTCTAGTCTTACATTGCAATTGTAATAATTAAAAAAAAAAAAAACGATATGCAGCTTCATCTATACAATTGCTTTGCCAGTTATTTCCACTGGAAAAAAAAAAGAGATTCATGCAGGCTTAGTTTTCCTTAGACAAACTGCCTGTCTAGAATGTTTTGAAAATCATCAAATCTGCCTCTCTTGTTTGTTTGTTTTTTGCAATACATTATCCAGGCTTCAACTTTCATGCTGTTGTACACACTATTGCTGTGCTGTGAAATCAACATATCTACACAGACTTCTATCTTTGACACACCTTGTGGCCAAACAACTTTTAAGATTTGCTCAATTCACATACAGCAAATCTGAAAATGAGATTTTTTTCTCCATGAGATTAAACAACAAAAAAAGTGTGAGATGTGTTAATGACTTTCAGAGAAGCTAAAAACAGACTAAAGAAAGTGTTAGTAATTGCATATTCATTCAGCAGTGCATGTGTTACCTTCAGGCTAGAGTCTCTTATAGGCTGTCTTCTGTCTTTTGTAATTAGTTTGGCTCTGTCTTTATCAGAAAGTGAACCAAACCGACTGGACTCATTTGCATCCTTTGCCACTAAACCTCCTCTGTTTTTCCGTAACTCAATCTGTAAGCAATACATAAACACCATGAATAAAACAATGAGTGGGATTGCATTGCTGAAGCAGTTACATTGATGTTTTTGAACTGGATAACAAGAATAACTCTACTAAGTGCAAAGACACACCTTTGAGCCATCTCCTCCAGAGTTTGCGAAAATAGTCGGCACGGCATCCTCTCTGAGAAACAGTTTTCCGTTATAGTCACGGAAGCAGTCAGGCTGGAAATGCTCCGAGCACAAACAGGAGTTCTGAGTGGGAACAAAGTTCTTTCTCCCAAGGTTTCGTACCCATTGCTCGGCTAGCTGAGGCTTGCTGATTGGAAACCTGAACAGAGAGAAAGAAAAGGTGGCTGCAACTCCATTGGTTACTGTTACTTCCAATACAGTTTTTCTAGGCATGCATATTGTATTCTGAAATCAGCAACCTGTGCAAATCACCTAGATTTAAAAAGCGGACGTATCATAATCAGCTGTTACAAGTCCTTTTTTTTTCTTTTAGTGGCAACATAACACAAGCAAGTTAATTATGTTATGATATTAAGTATAATATCCATATCTGTTGCCATTAGACTATACATATTAAAAGTGAAAAGAGGAGCACAGACAAACACGACGCGCCACAATAACCAAGAAGGGTAATATTGTGTTGCCTCAAGATAGAAAGTGGTATTTTACATTTACGACAAGTTATGTTAACTATGAAACCTCTATCTGGATGTACAGCATCGTACAGCAACTCGTGCACATGTAAACAGTGAAGCTTAACACAAAGCTCAAGCGTGTCAAAAAATCATGTTATGTTCGTTACCTGTAGAATCTGATCTCTGACCCTTTGGCAAACCGGTTTGAGCAATCAATAGCTGAACAGGAGATCGGCATGGTGCTGTATTCGTGTTAAAACTCTAAAAAAATCTGTTATTGTTCCACACGAACTACAATCATTTTCACAAGCAGCACCGCGGGAGCATCAAAACGCGGACTTTGTTAACTGCGCATGCGCTGTTATTTGTTTGGCGGCCACTGGACAGCCACACAGCGAGATCCATTTATTTTCATTGGAGATCACGTAACGTATTTTGCTTATGAGGAGATAAGCCATTGCTTCAATATTTGATAGTCAAAACAACACTTTTTTTAAAAAGCACTTGCTTCAAAAATAAGCTAATGAAAAAAGAAAAAAGACGTAAACTTGTAACTTTTATTTTGAAATAAGTCGTAACCGGAAGTTTAACAAACAGTTCCCTTCAAAGAAGAAGAAGAAGAAGAAACAAACAGTTCCCTCGGTGTTTATAGTAGCCACATGGATCTGGAAGAGTAGTGGAAGGTATAAGGAGGTTCTGAATGGATCACTTCGAGAAGGATTTAGTTGATGCGCTTAAAGACGTTGTCGAGGCTGGAAACTGGCAGTGTGTGGGAGACAAATCTAAATTTAAGTCACCATGCACGAAGTAAGCGCCTGTCATTGTATAAATGCACACGTAAATATATGATGCTCTTGAACTGTTACAAGAAGATATTCTGTAAAATAACTTTTTGGAAAGGAGATTTTAAAAAGTGTTAATTGATTTATTTTTAAAATGGAATTAGACAACGAATGTTAAAAATGCATCTGTTATGAATGTTATACTAAAGCTTAATTTACAATGGGGAAAAATGTCTTAAATTAGAGAAATGCAGTGGGGTCCAAAAGTGAGACCACTTGCATGTATTAAAGAATGAACATATGTACAGTAGATATTTGTATTTTCACTAAGAAAATTCATGTCAGTATAATATTTCTTCATATATACACATTTTCTGAAAATATATATAAAAAATAATAGCAACAATATTTTTAAGGTTTTACTCTGATGATGGAGAGCATATAGTCCTGGTGCATACAAAGGATGATCAATTCTGGGCTATGGATTCATCTTGCCCACACGAAGGTTAGTTGTAACTCTAGTCAGATACAAAGAATTCTTGTGCATTATGTAGGCAAGGCATGTGACTTTTCTTAGATGGACCGGTTTTGGGTTTAGATTTAGTTTGTCATCCGACCGTCGCAACTACTTAACTGTTAAATTTTTATGCTTTCATATGGCTCCTTTTTAATTATAATTTATTTTGTGCCCTCCCATACAAAACAGTGTTATGCAAAACTTTGTATAGTTGTGTCTTTATTCCATTATCACCATCTTGGCCTTATTCTGACTTCCCTCACAAGCCTTGTTTGCGCCGAGAGTTTTGAGGCTGATGATACACGGGACAACTTTTTTGAACCAATGCTGCTTGGCCACTTTCCCATTGAGAATGGGTAACAAATTTTTATCTGGATATTTTAGATCAGACGTGGGCCCTGTGTCTCACCTGGTTGCCCATTGATGGCAACATTGCCCATAGTATCAGTTGCCCTGTGTATCATCAGCCTGAGAGAAAACTCTTTCTAGATGGTTTGATGTAACTTCCACTTCCTAGGTGAAACATTAGTGATACATTAGACATTTGCTTGGATATTGTTTTATATTTGCTTTATCTCTAATTGAATATATTTATCCTGATTTTTAAATACATGTAAGTTTAAAAACAGTGATGTAAGTTAATTATGGGTCTTTGTGAAAATATCGCATAACTGTAATACAGTAAAATGAAAGAATTGTTTTAATATCTTAATATAATGATCCATTGCTTAACAGGAGGCCCACTTGAGCAGGGTGATATTGAGGATCTGGGCCATGGGAAACTGGCACTGATTTGCCCATGGCATTACTTTGATTTCAGCCTTGAAACTGGTTCCTCTTCCACTGGACTGCAGGCAAGTTGTTATGATGGTCCAGGTTAAAGGAATAGTTCAGTTCACCCAAAAAATAAAATTCTGTCATTTACTCATCCTGTATTTTCATTACTGGGTGAACTATACCTTTAACGTACAGTGATCAAACTGCTATCATTCTTGATGTGTCTCATATTATTATCACCAGAACCAAGTGTATGATGTCCGTGTACTGGATGGAAAAGTGTATATAAATACCCAGAGCACACTGTCCCTTTGTCCCATCCCAGCGACAAAAATAACCCACCAAGGTGAGCAATGACAGAATACAAAAATATGAATTGTATGACATGTTATGGTACACAATGCATGCTTGTGCTGTATTCTTTGCAGATGGTTTGCCTGTGGAAATAACTTCCTCAGAAAACACACTTTGCATGTGGGCCACCAAAATCCTTCACACCGCAGACCCACAGGAAAAGGTTTGGAAATATCCTTTAACATGTAGTGATTGACTAAACAGTATCATTCACCACATCTCAGTTTTATCAGACACTTTCTGATTGCGCAAAATAAATCGTTGTACGACTTCTGCTTGTTTGTTTTTCTGTATGGTGTAGGTTTCATTGACCAAGATAGTGCAAGAGAACTGGGACAGCGGGAAAATAACAGAGACTGGGGAGGCCAGCCCTCCCGCGCAGCCTAACAGAAAAGACAGTCTGACTGTCGTGGAGCCTGGAAAAATCAAACGGGGCAAGGGTGGCACACTGGTAAACTTTGTTTCACTTAGACACTAGTTTAAGCTAAAGAGTAATTAGGTCAAAATAAAAATGGTTTCTGTTTCAACAGGCGAGTAGGATTGCTTTACTGCACTCTCTTGCTAATATAGAGCAGTGGGCAATAGACCTGTCCTGGGATGTGATAGCAAGATTCTCCACATTTAGATTGAGCAATGGTGAGCCATTGCCTCGCCAGTTCTTTGATGACTTTGTCAAAGTAGCAGGAGATGAAGCCAAGGTTTGTATACATGTTTACACCTTTTATTTATTTAGGCTAAATGCTAACTAAGTAACTTTGATTCATTTGACATCTGCAGCATTATCAGTTACTAGAGCAAAGGATTATGGAGCTTGGCAGCTTCTTTGGTGCTTTACCAGTACACAACGGTCAGTGTTTTCATGTGTTTGTCTTTTTAGGTGATGTTAGAGATTCAATATTAGTCTTTTTTCTTTTCAAAAAGGTTTGTGGCAATCGGCAACAGATACGTCTCATGACCTTTTGGCGAGGCTAGCTATAGTGCACATGGTCCACGAGGCCAGGTAAAACACGTCTCATGTCTGTCAGATTCTGTTATTTTCATGTATGTATCTGAAATGTGCATGGTTTTTACACAGAGGTTTGGATGTGCACCCTCAGACTCTGTCCCGCTTCGCTGCTCAGGGAGACACAAGCTCAGTGAAGGTGTTGGAGGTGATTTATGCTGATGAGATCACACATGTGGCTGCAGGGCTGAGATGGTTCACATACATCTGCTCAAAAGAAGGACGGGTAAGAGATCTAACAACACAGGGTTTTTTTTTTTAACTATGTAACAGTACAATTAAAATGGTGTTTAAAATTTCACTGTAAATGACTGTGAAAGTGAAGTATTTAATCATAAAATCATGTTTTATTTTTTAAAACATGCCTTTGCTACTGCAAATAGGCTTGAAATGCTTAGATAGTAGTCTGTTTCCTAACAAGAAAGCATTTTTTCCCCCCCTCAATATATTTCAGGATTCCTTAAAAACATTCCATGAATTGGTGAAGTTGCATTTCAAAGGGTTTTTGAAGCCTCCATTCAACACAGAGGGAAGGAGGACGGCAGGGATGACAGAAGAGGTATACATACCATTGTTGAATTTCTGCAGAATTATTCTATTTTTGTTTTTGTTTTGTTTTTGTTATTTGTTTGACTGCGTAACTTAAACCAAATGATAATCTGGTTTATCATGATCAACCTCTTTACCTACAGTGGTATGTTCCTCTTGTCAAGCCCTCCAGCAGCTTACAGAAGACCTCCTGATTGGATTTATTTTTATTCAAAAAGAGGAAACCTGTTTTGCATTCTGTAAAAAGGACTTTTAATGTAGAATGTGCTTGCTTGCATGGTCGTCAGATGAACCCTAAGGGTAAAGAAATCACAGAATGGATTTGTGAATCCAGGAATATTTGCATTTAAATATATTAAAAGACAAATAAACAATCTTAAATGTCGTTTCAGCAGTTCAGTGGTCTTGCTGACAGGGGGCGCTCAGAGGTTGTTTTGCTTTCAGCTGAGGTGTTCTGTGTAAGGGATGCGGTTTACACTGCTGCTGATAAATTGGATTTTCACTAATGGTTTTTCGAGTAGGTTTTCATATTTAGTTTGAGGGTATTATATCATCATTTAAACTGTTTTAAACTTAATCCAAATGCAGAAAAGCATGCACATCCAAAAAATAACAGATATGGCACATTAATTTGTAGGAATTTGTAATAGAATTCAACAGTTTTAATAGAAAAACATGAAATCGGATTAAGTTTAAAACTAAATTGGCATACTGTTGATCCTAAAGGATGTCTGATGAAGGTGTGTGGCCTGAAATTTCATGTGTTTGGTGAGAATTCCATTAAAATTCCTTTGGGAACAACAGTATGCTGACTTGGTTTTAAATTCAATCCAAGGCCTTAAGAGTTCTGTATCTAAGGGATAATTAATTATCACTCCACCTGGCCATAGATCCATCAGTTTAAATGTGTTCTCAGCATAGAGTTGAACATTTTTGTCAATCCTTGTAAAAAAAGGTCATTAGCATAGAGTTGAAAATTTGTCAATTCTTGTAAAAAGGTCATTTGAAATATTTTTTTATGTGTTGGGTCTGTTCTGTTCACTAAGATTTCCCCACTGCTCTTAGGTTCTGATTCTTGTTATTTTTAAGGTCATATTTAAACATTTGCAATGAGTCATTACACTGCTGAGAAATTACCCTGAAATATGATACAGCCTTTTGAACAAATGGTTTACAGCAAACTCACTTTTTCTATTCACAATTAATGTTTATTCGTCATGGTTCTCTAAAGATTTTTTCCATTTCTTCAGATGGAATGTAATGTTGAGATAAAGACAGTACAAACATGAGCATAGAATCTGTCTCTATGCGTGTGTGTGTGTATTACCCAGACGTGACAGAGTTTTCCGTGCTGTGTGAGCCTGTGTCATTGGTTTTCACTTCTGCTTTTTGTATTTTTGTGATTTTTTTTTTTCCATCATGTGTGGTGGTGAAATTTGCAACTGTCTTTAACTCGAGAATAGCTTTTTGTCTAATTTATAAAAACTACCCACTTTGGTCATTGTATCTGCTCTTTAAATATGTCCTTTCCCATATGTACACACTATACAGACGTGTGAATGTTGGTCCTGCATCACAAAAGCTACTGAAATTTAAAGGACTTAAAGTTACTTAATTAATGCAAAGGTGAATAATAAAAAAAGTAATGAAAAATATAATCGTCGACTCAATACACAGGGTCATAACTATGGTAAGAGTTCTGGTCCATTTGCTGTTTTCATCGAGGAAAAAGGTTCTCTCTTGTTTTCTCCAAGTCTTTCTCCCTCTTTCTTGCTTTTTTATGCATATGTTTACATGTAAATCTTCCTTTCTGTGTGGCTCTTCCCAAGTATCTCTCCACTGAACTGGTAGGTGAGTTTTTTCTTGATCTTCCTGACTTCTCCCGTCTTGCCATAGTTTCTCAGCGCCCTTGCCATCTTCTGGTAGGTCATCTTCTTGCGGTTTCCCTTCTGTACGCCCCAGCGGTGTGCTAAAGCCTCTTTGTGCTTGGAAGAGAACTGGAATGTTCCTTTTTCTCGGTCAACCCACCAGACGCTGTCCTTCATGTCACCATTTCGCAGAAGGTCCAGCAGGAACTGATACAAGCGAATTTTCTTCTTGTTACCTTGAAAAACGAAGGAAATGAACACCAACATCTAGATTCTAGGAGATCTCAAAAGTCAACAGGTTTGCTTCACTTATCCACTTTCCATAGATCACTATGGCTGTGTCCTTATGAGGTGAGACTGGTCTTAGCTTTTGTCCTTACCATGCTCTCCTGTTGTCGATGTAATGTGGTCTCTCATACACTCCTCGTCAGACACCTCTAATGGAGGACTGCGACTGACGGGGTCATCATCATCTGAGCTGCGCTGGAGAGGAGACGGCTGTACACTGTGAGGGTAACACACTGATGGCCGTGGCAAATATGTCATCTGTGAAGACAAAGTATATAATTATCAGAGAGAGAGAGAACATAGAAAATAGAGGTTCCAATTAGAATCAACTAATTAAATTTAATTCTATAACTATTTAACAATATGCTGATCTGAAGATGATGTAAAACTTGAAATGTACATCCTGGCAAAAAGTTACCAGTACATTATGTTATTTTTACAGACTTTTCTCCAGAAGAACATAGCAAACACAAACTCTAAATAGCAAGAACCATTTAAGAATCCTTATTTGAAAGGGGGGAATTCTTTATATGTGAGGAAACCATGTCTGTGCAGTCAGCTGGTTTGAAATGTGTCATCTGGAGATTTCAGCCTTGTTCAACATTAACAAAGAGGAACTTTACATTTTTATATATTGCCGATATAACATTGCAGTGAAGCTTAAAGCTGCAGAATATTTTGTTTATTTGATAACAGCAAGGGCATCTATAGAATACCATGGATGTATAGTATGTTTAGAGGGAGAGAAAGAAGAAGAAGGAAAACGTTATGAAAGAATGAATTAAATATTAAGAAATGTATTTGAAAAAACAAACAAAAAAACTCACTTTTTTCAGTTAAACCGCTTCACTGTAAAAAGCCCTTACAAAAACCCAAAGTGTCAAGGATCGTTGCAGTCTCATGCGATTGCACACACAGTGCTGGAGTAGCAATTTCTTTTGACATGACAGTTGAAAAGTCTGATGACTTGAGGAGAGTGTCCTCACAAACACATGATAGTCATATTATTTTGAAATTTTGGTAACACTTTAGTATAGGGACCAATTCTTACTATTATTAACTAGTTGCTTATTAGTATGCCTAGTAGCATACTGGCTGTTTATTAGTAGGTTACTTATTTCTACATGATTATATTCTAATCCCTAATCCTACCCAATACCTAAATTTAACAATGACCTAATAAGCAGCAAATTAGGAGTTTACTGAGACAAATGTCGTAGTTAATGGTTTGTTAATAGCAAGAATTGGACCTTAAAATAAAGTGTGACCGAAACTTCCAAAAAACTAACTAACTAAACAAATCCATTTTTATGTGGATTTGTTACACCTTTATCTTGTGCTGGGCCTCAGAAGTCAGATGGTAGTTGTTGTGCATTTAGGCCCTTAAAGACGTGCCTGTTTTTTTAGAATGTATATAATACTTACATCTGCAGTTAACACTTTTCAGCGTGATAGAGTGATACTCATCTATTCAGCCAAGAAAGCAGCATTGCTCTCCTCAGGCTTAAATGCAAAAGCAAAAAAAAGCTGTCATTGCTTAGGGTTTGAGGTGTAAATAACTAATCTACAGAATAACTGCTGCTGAATTCACAGAACAGCCCCTTTAGAAATTACCATGGTAACCGCAGTTTCCGCCAAAAATAACAGTTATTGTTGTGGCTTAGCATTAAAATGTGGTTGCTTGGCATTAGTCTCACATCAAAATAATAATAATAAAAAAAAAACAGTCAACACTGTTTGAAAGAGATCGCATAGCAATTTATTATGGCTTTAGTAGTGGCAGAACTATAATTACCATGGTAAATTACTGCAGTCACGGTTTACAATATTTATGGCCAACTTATGGTTTGTGTTAATAAAACCTTTATATTGTTACAAAGATGTATATTTCATTTGAACTTTCTATTCATTTAAAAATTCTGAAAAAAAAAACTTATGGTTTTATGGTTTCCACAAAAATATAAAGCAGCACAACTTTTTTCAACATTGACAATAAAAAGAAATGTTTCTTGAGCACTAAATCAGCATATAAGAATGATTTCTAAAGGATCATGTGACACTGACAACTGAAGTAATGGCTCCTGAAAAATCAGCTTTGCCATCATAGAAATATATAACATTTTCAAATATAATAAAATAGAAAATAATTATTTGAAATTGTATTAATACTTCGCAATATGAATGTTTTACTCTAGTTTTGATTAAATAAATGCAGCCTTGGTGAGCATGAGAGACTTCTTTTAAAACCATCAAAAAAGCTTAGTTATAATAACATTTTTCTCCAAGCATCATGCAACTTCCAATGAGTCTGAGCCCGTATGACAGGCAGTATATCAGTCTGACGTGGACGGATCTCTGCTTCCTCCTACAAGGACGTCTACAAAGGAAAAGCTTTCTTTTGCTATAGACTTTATGGTTAGAGTCTGCCTTCAAGAAGAAGTCCAACCAAAGGAAGGGAAATCAATCTCTGCATTATGCAAAAGAGATCTTAAATGATCTCTTTCAAAAGGTTCTCTTTGATTTTCCACCCACAGAGAAGTCAACATACACGTATATCCTCTTTTTGTTCAAATATCAGCAAAAACGACACCAAAAGGTCAAGCAAACAGACCTTGTTTTTTTTTACTCAAAGCTGGTGTAGAAGGTTTCTAGAATGTAGCTATTCATTTACATTTACATTTAGTCATTTTGCAGACGCTTTTATCCAAAGCGACTTACAATTGGGGAATACATAAAGCGATTCTTCTTAAAGAGGCAAACAGACACAGAAAGTGCTTGTAATACCAAGTTTTAGGCATTGTTCAAATAAGTACAAGCTAGAAAGGAAAGGAATATATAAAGAGAAAGACAAAGTTTTTTTTATTTTTTATTTAATTATATTTTCTAATTAGATATTCTCTAATAAACTGCCTAAAACAAACTAATAAAGGTTTAAAATCCCTTATGGTTTAAATATAAATGCTAACATCATATGTATTTTGTGTGTTTGTGTGTGTGCAAGGTCCTGTTCTAACTGTCTTCATGCTGTAACATGTGTGCGCTTGTATGCTAGTGTCACAATAAAGAGTGGTTTTGTTTGTGTAAGTGGGGCTGTTCTGTGTAATGGCAGTTGATGAGTTTGCAGACTGACAGTGTTGAGTTTTGGTCAGGATAAGGTTTAGTTGAGCAATAGCTTGGCCACAGATGCTTTCAACAACCTCCTAACTAGCATCAACTCCCACTTGTGTCACGAAGCACCAGATAAATTTAACCAAAAGTTATTAAACCCAGTTTTATAGAAATACAAGCAAGATTTCTCTGTTCTCAAATGTCTCCTGCACTGTATTCAACAAAATTGTTACTCTCGTTACTAATAATGTGACCGAAGCTCACACAGAACTTGTGTAAGGACATCAAAACATGTAAGAAAGTGTTTGCACACGTAAATTGAAAGTGAAAGACATGAAAGTGATGTGGTATTTATTATCAGGTGTTTAATAGATAATGCGGGTCTCACCTGTGGAGGGGGCAAAGTGAGGTGATGCCCAGTCAGGCCTGGGTCGATAAAATGGCCCGACTCAACATCTGGGAAGCGATGCACATTCGATGCATGTAGTGGCTGTACGCTCTGTAGCTCTGTGAAGTGGCTCTCCGGCAGGTTCTCGAAATCCACCGGATGGACATGATGTGTATTATAATCCCAAGCGTGATCTAGAAAAGGACAGTGAAGTTGAAACGGAGAGTCAGCAGAAAGCATCTTTTAACAAGCAAAAGTAATATGACAATACGTCACATGCTCTTTGTGTAAGCTGGTACCAGCAACTGATAAATCAACCATGTCACATTATTCTGTCCGTCAATTCAATCGCATGCAAGAAACTACAATTACACTGTAAGCCCTGGGACTTTGAGTGTCGCCCTGTTTCCTGTTCACACCACCATTTCCTTTGCAGTTTTTGAATAGCCTCAAGCATGTTGTTGTTTTTTTATTGCCATTGTATTTAACGGTTAGATTTTTTTATTTATCTGTTTTAAGTCTCATCACATAGAAACAGAGAAAATAATCCACAGCATGTTTTTGTGCATCTGTCACTTAAATGTGTTTTCATTTTCAATAATTTTCCACACATTATCACTGTAAGCAATCTAATTTCACGACATTTAAATCATAAAAGTTGTAGTCA